CAACAACTTGAGGGGAGATATCCCATATATATGTGTGTATATATGTACATATATATGTATATATACATACACATATATATGTACATATATACATAAATATATAATAGTAGATCTTTATATGGCCTTTCCAAAACTCTTAGCATTTGTTATCTCTCCCTTCACCCTCTCGTCTGCTCTACCCTCCCAGCCCTATTCCCACCTTAAAGGTCCATTCTCATTACTCCCCTTCCCCTTTACATAACCCATCTTTAAATTGTTTTTAAAAAGTCTGATCTCCACCTTTTTCTCCTCCTCCCTTTCTTCCTACTTCTCCCCCTCTTCATCCTCCCCTATGTTCCTCCTCTGTTGAGAGCCAGGCTGATCCAAGCGTTTCTCAGAGCCTTGATAGAAGTACAAAGAGAATATTTATTCTGTGTCCCTGGCCGGGAGTAGACGTGCAAGGCCAGTCTGGGGCTGGGGCCAAGACCTTGAGGGAGCCAAGGTTTATGTTTCTGGCAACTTGGCTTTTTCCACTGAAGAGACTGGAGTTATCAGTCCCAAGGCTGTGGTGTGTTTGGTCTATAGTGCTCTTGAGATACCCTGTGTTCCCTTTGTACAGCCTGCTTGATTAGTCTCATGCTGACTTTGTCCCATTGTGTGGTATCTTCTATTGACTCTGTCCCATTTCTCCCATGGGAAGAACACATAAGATGCCGTCCTTCTTAATAAGCTTGCTTGGCATAAGACTTAGCAGACCTCTCAATTCCAAACTTATTTCCTTGTTTTCTGATCCACTAGTCCTCTCAGGACCTGTCGCTGAAGAATTACCAGTCGGTTTGAATCATTCCTCCTTTTCTTCCTCCTTATTCTTCTCCCCGGACAGGATTTCATATAATAGGCTAGCCTAGAATTTTCTGTGTAGTGCAGGCTATCTTCATACTTATGATGCTCCTGCCTTGGCTTCCTAAGTGCAGGGATTAAAGACATGTGCTACCGCACCTAGATTCATTTTTCTCTATTTTTGTTCCTCTGGTTGTCTAATTTCATATATAATATTTAAGGAATATTTATAAAGCATTGTTCATAGTGTTCCCAAAGCAGAAACAAATTGCTAGTAACACGCGGAAAATTTGACAGGTATTCTAAAGCTGTTTCTAGTCTGTTGGGACTGTAAGAGTGTCTCATGTGGCATAAATTAACTTTTTCTTAATTACTAGTATGGACGAACTCTTTCAATAAATTTATTTGTAATTTTGAGTTTTGGCCCATTGCATACGTCTTTGGTGAGCAGTTGGTATGCATTTTTATATTATTGATCTGAATGGATTAAAAAACTGTTATCAGGTTTTTAAGATCCATCTTTATTTATGTTCATTTTTGATATATAGGGTCTCACTGTGTGTCCCTGGATGGCCTGGAACTAGGCCAGGCTGGCCTTGAACTCAAGAGCTCTGTCTTCCTCTGCCTCCTGAGTTCTGGGACTAACAGCCTGAGTCCCCATGGGCTGTAAAACCTGTATTTTGCTGTGTTGTGGCTTTGCTATGATCTGCCTTTTGTGGCTTTTCTGTTGTTATTGTTACAGTAGACATTACTGTTAGCGTCTGCTGTGGTAGGGAGTGGGGGAAGATCTGGGAGTTGGGGGAAGAACATGACAAAATTGTAGGGTATAAAATTCTCAAAGGATAAATAAAAATAAATTACAAAAGAGGAAGAATGAATGTCCAGTGAAAATTTTGTATTGGTGAGACTTTCACTTTTTTTGTTTTGTTTTTTTGCACACTGTTTTTTTGGAAACAAGGAAAACTACTTAAAATTTCTTGTCTCCATAAAGCGAATGTGTTTTCATTAAAAAGTGATCAGTTTGGTGTAATGCTTGTTTTAGTTATAAATCTGTCTAACATAGAGGCAAGCTTATTTATCTGCTAAAGGAGGAGAATATGAACACAAAAAAGTGGTAATTAGCTTATTCTTGGAAATAAAAGGAACTCTATTGAGAATAAGAAGGCACCATGAGATTCCTGGTAGTCATAAGATAAAGAGGATCTAGGGCTGTGATTTCGAAATAGTTAAGTTTACTCTGTGTTTTGAGAGAGCTGAGTATGTGTCTCTACTTTTTGGATTCCTAGGACCCAGCCTCTATGTGACCCTAACAGTCAGAATGAGAGCAATGAAGCATTATAAGGAGCATAGTGGCCTCAGCAGGGCAGGCATTCAATGACCAGACTTAATTAATATGGGGGGAGAGAAGGGAAGTACTGGAGAGGATTTGGAGGTAAGCTAGGAGAGAAGAGGAGAGGAGTGTGAACAGAGGATAGCCAGGATGTACCAGTAGACGTGCTTCCAATTGGATCATAGGTGACCATTCGTGAGAGAAACTGGGGGCAGCAGAATCTTACAACCCCCCCCCCAAAAAAAAAAAAGAATGCGCTTCGGTAAAATTCCTATGCTGATTCTGCTTTGCACATTAGGACTGTGATGGTTAATCTTGGCTTATCAGCTTGGATCTGGAATCAGCTAAGAGACCTGGCTCTGGGTGAGTCCATAGATATTTCCTGGAAGGGTTACTTGAGAGGGGAAACCCCTCCACCAGAATGGGTGGCACATTCCAGCGGTAGCCTACATATAAGAGAGGCAAACTGTTGCTTTTTGCCTGCTTGCCTTTGCCTCTTGCTGGCTAGTGCATCTCTGCTGTTACTCTTACAGCTTTTGCTCCTTCTGCTGTCACCATCCTTTGCTGATACCAGAACCCAGTTCTCTTGGCCTTCCAACAGGAACTGAAGACCAGTGGCTGTCCAGGAATCCTCCAGTCTTCCAGCAGCAGATTGGGAGTGCTGAAGCATCCAGCCTCTTACCCTCTGCAAATAAATTCTCTTTGAATATGTGCCCATTCTGTCAGTTTTGCCCCTCTAGAGGTAAATGCAAGGACTCTGGTCACTATGGTGAAGAAGAGAAGATTTGGATTTGAATCTAGGTCCCACTACATGTCAGCTGTATAGCCCTTGGGGAATTCCTTGATTCCCTTGAATAGCTGCTTTCTCATATATAAACTAAAGACAAAACATGGAAATCGTTAACGTTTAAACAAGATTAAATTGGTTAATGCATTTGAAGTATATTTAGGCACACTTGCTAAATATAAGCTATTGCCACCATGGCTCTGTGCTCAGCAGCATTTCTAACCTGACTTAATCTAACTCACACTCTGAAGTCATAGCTTTGAGGATCACGATTGGTGCCATTCATGACGAAAGACTCTGCCAAGGGAACGATCAGCTCTGTCAACATCTTCAGAGCCTGTCTACACATTGGAGTCAACTGAGTTATATGGGAGTTAGAAAAAAAAACCAAAAAGGTAGCAGTCAAGACAGAAGTGTACCCTCAGAGGAGCGAGCACTTCTGTTCTGAATCCCGTGTTGTCTCTGCTCCGGTTTGCTAAAACCCTTCAGTGGCACCTGCCTTGCATGTTGGAGAACCAGCTTATTGCATTGCTGTCTGCCTCACTTGGCCACAAGTAGAAAAACTTCTTTTACTGAATATTCTAGTGGTTTTTTCAACCCTGGCCGCACTTCCCAAGAAGAATATCATGTCAGAATTTCAGGCACCATATTATTTTTATTACTGTTTTCATTATTTTTTTACCTCTTTGAGAATTTGTGACACGCACACACTCTATCTTGATTATATTTACCCCCTTCTTCCCATACTGCCTCCAAGATCCATGTTCCAGCCCCCTCCCAACTTCATGACTTCCCCATCAACTGGCTTTGGGGTTGGGGGTAGGGGAAGATGCATGCATTACAAAGTGGGAGAAGAGCTAACCAGCTTCAGATTCGAAAACGTTCCCTGACCATCCATCAGAAGAGTGAACAAACCCTAATGACCAATGGATACATTAACTTCTACACCCACGGGAAGCCAAATAGGTCATTTACACAGTTAACTGAGCTTTGGGACGAGGTTAGGGCTAGTGCCCTCTCTGCTTTCTGCTGTTATTGAGGCAAACATGTCTCTGAGGTGAAGCACAGTTTTTTATTTATTTTATTTTTTTATTGCATCCTTGCCATAGTCCTGTGGGGATCAGCTGTGGTAATTGAAAGGAAGCAGAGATTTAAAAATAATTTGCAACAGAAGAGCTCTTTATGAAATGGCTAAAGGTTCACAAGATAAAAACAAGTTACCAAGATGGTCCCATCTCCTGTAAAGGCTTACCAGAGCACTGGGGCAGGGTAGACATATAGGAACATTATGGTGACACGGAAAGAAAAGGTTGAAAAAAAACTATGCCTTTCATCCCAGACTCTGATCCAACTCTTCTCCTGAGAAGTCCAGAAACTTCAGAAATCCCTGATGAAGCCCAAATGGCCTGAGACACAGTACACAAAGACACCTGTCAACCCAAATCCTACTTACTGAGGACCAGCGTGATGCATCACCCTGAGTTTCCAACACTGTCTCCCTACTCCCAAATCTAAACAACACCCCCATCAATCCATCTGCCAGCCTTGTTTCCCGAAGGGATTTCTTTTGTAAAGTTTTAACCTTGTTATAAGCTGCACCCCTCGAGCAGTGTTAAAGAAACGAGAGGGGGCATTTCTTGTGACCTTTAGAGATAAAAATTGAGAGGCACCAAAAATCCTGTATATGCCTTTGATAAAGACACCGAAGTCTGACTCTCCCTGGAGGAGCCCACACTGGCCTTCAGGTACATCACACACACCCCTCGCCCCGAACAACTCTCTATCGACCCGTGTGCTTCGGAGCGAGGTTAAAAAAAAATGCCTTTTAGGAAATCTCCAACTCTGCTTCACCTTGGCTGCCCACGCAATTCTTTTCCTCTGCCAAAGCCAAGGATTCTGGTGCCTCCACCGGGGTTGCTCATGACAGCATGAGGAAGAGAAAAAAAAGGAAGCCAGAGTCAAGTCCTTTGACTCTTAGGGACAGGCATGGCTAGTTCTCTTGGGTTACTTGGCCAGTGGGATCTTCTGAGGCAGCGTTGCGTTTGATGAATGCTCTTTCCGTCGTCATGGGGCTTTGAAAGGCACCCGCTGCTCCATGGTGATATTACTGATCTTTGAGGATTTCTCCTCTACCGAGTGCACTCGCAGGGAGAGGAGGCTGCCAAGCTGGTCTAGCTCCTCAACCATCGTTCGGACAAGCGTTTCTTCCGTTGGGTCTAAAATGAAGTCAGGGAAAAGTTCAGCGGTCAGTCCTCACAGGGGAAAGGTGCTTAGTCACAGCAGGTATGGGTTAAGGACTGGGTTTTGAAAGTTTGGAGAAGACTGAGATACGATGCCTACGTTTAAAGTCAGTGCTTAACAAGACCCAGGATCTCCCTCTCCCTCTCCCTCTCTCTGCAATGGTTGCTTGAAAGCACAGATGAAGCATGTATTAAAACAATCTGGACATCAGGTAAATAAATATGTCTGGAATAATCAATGCTCTCTTCTTTCTCCCCCGTCCCTCCCTTCCTTCCTCTCTTCTTCCCTCCCTCCTTTCTTCCTTTCCCTCTATTTTCCCTCTCCCTACTTTCCCTTTTAGAACTGGAGGTTGAACCCAGGCACTCAAAACCTACAGGACCAGGGCTCTATTTCTCACTAGAATGTCCATCCCTCATTTCACTCTCTATTTTGAGACAGAGTCCCATTAAATCACTCAAACTGGATTTCAACTCACTTTGTGACTCAGACAAGTCTAGAATTTACAAACCTCCTGCTACAGTCTCCCAAGTACTTGGGGTTATAAGCCTGAAGTACTAGGCCAGGCTATTGACTGCCTTCTTTAAATACCAGCTCGTCTTATTTTAGTGGTTTAAAATAAGTTCTTTTATTAAGTAGTAAAACTGAGAAGCAGTGTGTTCTAGGCAGTAAAGATATTGGAGGATTCTTCAGGACAGTCATTGTATAATTTGATCATATGTGTTATACGGGAATATTAGATACAAATACTAAGAATGGTCAGGTGGATACAGCGGTACACATCTGTAATTCTAGCACGTGTTAGGCCAAAGCAAAAATGAGTTTCAGGCCAGTTACTTAGCAAAACTTAAGGTAAAAATAAATGCATAAACAAATAATAAATAAATAAATAAAGTCACAATAACCTCCCTGTTTCATTCACTAGATCTAAACTCAAAGTAAAATTTTAGTTAATCAATAGGTAGATAGTTTAATAGAGCTGAAGGGGTTTAAGCCCCTTCAGGGCTGGGGAGATGGCTCACTGCTGTTCTTGCTGTGGAAGCGTGCGGAACTTAGTGCAATCTTCAGCATGCACGCACAAAGCCACGCATGGCAGTGCACGCTTGTAATCCCGGCACTGGGGAAGCAGAGACAGGAGGATGCTAAGGCATTCACTGGCCAGCCAGCCTGGCCAGATTGACACATTCCAGACTACCGAGAGACTCTGTCTCAAAAGAACAAGGTGAGGAGCATTTGGGAAAGACACGTGAGGTTGATCTCTGTCCTCCACATGCACAGCAGGCACACACACACACACACAACACACACAACACACACACACACACACACAGCAGGTACACACACATGCATAGCAGGCAGACACCACACACACACACACACACACACACACACACACAATTACACTAACTGAAATTCCTTCCATACCATTGGCTTCATTTACCGGCTTGCCGTCTTTTGGGTTGTAAGATGTGGATTCACCTCTTCTGTGAAGAGAGGAGCAGATTATTATTATATTCTTCTTTCAATTAGAAGCTCATAAATGATTGTGAATTGGAAATAAGTTTTTTTTTTTTTTAACAATTACTTTTAGTTTGATTTATGTGCACGTCTGAGTAGCCACATATATGCAGGTGCCAGTGAAGGCCAGAAGAGGGCATTAGATCCCCTGGATCTGGGGTTACAGGTGATTGTGAGCTATCTGACGTGAGTGTTGGGAATTGAACTGGTTTTTTGTACTACCAAGCCATGTCTCCAGCCCTGGAAAGAATCACTTTGGAGTTCTAGTTTCGTTAAGTTTTAAATTGTCCTGTTTTAGAGGGACATTAGTAAAGCTTTTTTTCTGGCTTCAGCATAGTGACAAGAGATAACATAGGCGTTTATGACTGGGTGTTGTCTCTTCCATCTAGCAACACGGGCACCCCAAGCTCGTCTTCTGACTTTTCATTCAACAGTTCAGTGCCTGCCCTAAGAGGTGGGCCAGGCGCTGTAGAAAAAGAGAGACCTAAGGAACACAGTAGTTTATGGTGTTAGAGAGACAACACATTCGCGAGAAAGTTATGTTTAACATCACCTAAAATAAAGAGCGAATGGTCTCCAAATACCGAGGAGGGCGCCATCACTGCTGGTTTCTTCTTTAGAATAGTCTGGAAGGCAGCTACCGTTCACCGCTCTACCAACAGCGCCTACTGGGTCACCTCACCCAGCCTTGACATGAGGGTCTGTGCCTAGTCTTATTGGCTCTTGTTATGCTGTGTTTGATGGGTACTCCTGGGAGGCCTGCTCTTTTCTTGAGGGAAATGGAGGAGGAGTGGGGGAGGCTGGGAAGGGGAACTGAGAGTAATGGAGTGAGGAGAAGTTGTGGTCGGAATGTATTGAAAAAAAAAAAAGTCTGGGGAAGGCCCCCCCTTGCCCCCCCCCCCCCCCCCGGCTTCAAAGACTGCAAAAGAAGACAGCCATTCACAGTGTGAACATGGGTAAGCCTTTAGTAACAGCCACCGATGTCAGCCTCTGCCACGGCGCTCATCCCCATGGTGAGGTGATGAGGCTGAGAACGGTACGGTTTTGCTGTATTCACAGCTTTACCAAGAAGGTAACAGTGGTTCAAAGAGGTTTAACCACGTGTTTAAATTCAGTCAGGATGTGGTTCACACCAAAGACACAATACTGGGGCTTTGTGTGTGTGTGTGTGGGGGGGGTCTGGTGTCTCTCTAATGACATCTACTCGGGAGGTGGCTGCGCTCACTGCTTTACCACCAGGGCAGTGAGGCATTTTCAGCCATCGTTCTGAGCCTGGACAGGGGGTATGTGTCAGGTAATAAAACAGGCTGAGTTATAAGAAATGTATTTAAACACAAACATAATTAAAAAAATAAAAGCATTTTCCCCCCTTGGACCAGAGTACTGGGACGACCAAGTGTTTTGTGTTTAACTGTCATTTATGCAATGAAAGCATGCAAATGTTTTCCATGCTTAGGTCTTTGATTTTTAGGCTGTGTGTGTGCCTCATGCCTATAATCCCAGTACTCAGGAGGCCAAAGCAGGAAAATCACAGCATTCAGGGTCTGGGCTATGGAATGAGATACTGTCTTAGAAATCATCATCATCATCATCATCATCATCATCATCATCATCGAAAACAACCACCACCACAACACTCAAGCTAAAAGAAACCCCCGAGTTTTCACTTTTAAATTTCTGTCTGTTTTCATTTCACTGGATGCAATAATGTAATAACTGAAGATACACACATGTACATACATACATATGACTTTTAAGAAGTTCTAGGATGTTCTATGTATGCTACATATTACCAAAGAAATAGAACATATACTAACTGTGTGATCTATGCCCTGCTTCTGTAGTAAGCACATAACATACTTATGGAATCCGTAACACGTGTAATAAACACATGTAAAGACCTAGTTATCGTGCCGTTAGTTGTTTTGCTAGTACTCACTGCTCCTCTCTGTCCAGCAGGGCGCAGTATGTGTCAATCTCCTTCTCCAGACGTGTCTTGATGCCGAGCAGCCGCTCGTGCTCCAGCTTCTGGCCCTCTGTGTCCAAGCGGATCTGCTGCAGCTGCTCCTCCCGAGCCACGATCTGCTCCTGGATGTGCTGCAGCTGAGCGTAGTAATTCCCTTCTGTCTCGGCCAGCGAACTCTCGTAGGACTGTTTCTGAGAGGGGAACGGAGCGTAAGGCTTGAACGGGCAAGAGAGGGCAGTGTGTCCATATGGAAATATTCTCAAGAGGAGGATGTCATGGTTTTGGGGGGGGGCTGGTGTGTCAGAAGTGATGTCTGTGGATGGAATTCCTGACACTTAGTAGAACACGCTGTAGCAATTTTAGTTATGTGTGTGTGCTACATTTAGTTTTGTAAATATTCATCTTAGAGGGGCTGGAGAGATGGCTCAGCAGCTAAGAACATTCACTGCTCTTGCAGAGGACCCGGGTTCCCAGCACCTTCGTGGCCGGCTCTCAACTATAGCACCAGGATATTTGACATCCTTTTCTGACCCCCACAGGCACCAGACCCCACACATGATGATGTGTGTCCATACATGCAGGCAAAACTCCCACAGACACAAAGTAAAATATTAAAAACATCTGTTGTCTAGATGTATTTTAACTTCCCTGTGCACCTATAATGTTATGTTTTGGATGTGTTTTGGAGTGTGTCCCTCAAGGATTTATGTATCAGGAGCTCTGTTCTTGTGTGATGGGTGTTTGGATGTGTGGGGACCTTTAAGTGAGAGGTTCAGTCACCAAGGGCACTGCTCTGGGAGTGATCTGATTTAAGTCCTAGTTAGTTCTCCAGAGAGGGTTATTTTAAAAGAGTTGAGCGTGGTGCCCTCCTGTGCTCTAGCTTCCTGTCTCACGATGCTCAGGCTTCTATCAGGATGCCCCGTGCCATGATATAATGTAGCCGGGGAGGGCTTTGCCACAGTTGAGGCTGTGCCTATTGGGTTGGCTATGAGTTAAGTAAACCCCCTTTCTGTACAAAATACTCTGCTTGGGCCGTTCTGCTGCCGTCGTGGAAAGCACACCTTCAGCTCCGTCCTCACGTACCATGGCCGTGAGGGATTGAAGCTCTATCTCCAGAGTCTGCAGGCTGCGTTTCAGTTCGACCAGCTCGTTCCTGGCCACCGTGGCTGCTCCCGCATCGTCTGAAATCTGTTGCTGCAGAGATGCGCTCTGAAGAGGCATTGACAGAAGGGTTAGGGGCCCACCTGACTGTTTACCAAACGAACCTCCCCCCCGCCCCCGAGGCGCACCTACCTTCTCTTGAAAGCAGGCCTCTGCATCTTTTCGGTTCTGCTCCGCCAGATCTTCATATTCGGCCCTCATGTTGTTCAGCATGGCGGTCAGGTCCACCCCGGGGGCCGCGTTCACCTCCACATTGATATTCCCCCCTGATGCATTTTGCAGGACTTCCATTTCCTGGAAAGGGAAGGATATTGATTGACATCCACATCCTGGTACGGACCTAAAGAAAGGAACTCTGAGCGCAAGGCTGTTCCTCAGGCTTCCTTACCTCCTCATGGTTCTTCTGGAGGTATGTCAGCTCCTCGCTCAGAGCCTCGCGTTGTATTTCCAGGTCGGTTGTGGCGAGTGTGAGCTCTTCCAACACTCTGCGAAGACCATTGGTGTCGGCCTCAGCACTCTGGCGCAGGGCAAGCTCATTTTCGTACCTTGAAGGGCGCGAAGGTGTTTTAGAATTGTGATTCCAAGCAGGTACAACTTGTAAAGACAGTTCGTATGCCAAGGGGAAGGGGTGTTGTGGTCTGTATGTATTTCTGAGGCTTCTTGCAATGGCAAACTGTGAAGACAGTTTGCGATACCTTTTAGTTGGTAAGTACAGCTTTTTGTGTGTATTCGTTTGCATGTGCTTGTACAGACGCATGCGTAGGTCAGAGGTCAATCTTGGGTGTCTTTCTCAGTAACTCTTCCCCAGTTTTGAGACAGGGGCTCTCACTGAACTTGGAACTCATGGGTTTGTCCAGGCTGCTGGCCAGCAAGCCTCTCCTCTCTCTCTTTTTCTCTCTCTGTTTTGTTTATGAAACGGGGACTTTCTATGTAGCCTTGGCTGTCCTGGAACTTGCTCTGTAGAGCAGGCTGACCTCAAACTCACAGAGCTCCTTTTGCCTCTGCCTCCCAAGTCCTGGGATTAAAGGCGTGTGCCACCACCACCCGGCTCCGGCTCCATCTCACCAGCACTGGAATTGCTCGGGTATGCTGTCAACCCCTTGCTTGTACTTACACGTTGGGGGTCTGAAGTCAGGTTGACCCTCATGCTTTTGTGGCAAACCCTTTACCAACAACCCAGCCCCCATGAATGCGTTATTTTAGAGGTATTATTTCTTTACAGTTGATCTTTGTGATCCAATAACATGTTGGAATAGAATAGTCAGATTAAAAAATTATGGTAGATCTTTTTATAAGGATGTATTAAATTCTACCACTTTGTTGATCTGGAATAGAGTGACTTCATTAAAAGTGTTTGTCGGGCTGGAGGGATGGCTCGGTGGTTAAAAGCATTTGACTGCTTTTCCGGAGGACCTGCATTTGATTCCCAGCAACCAAACGGCAGCTAACAACTGTCTGTAACTTTGGTTTCAGTGGATCCAATGATCCCTCTGGCCTCCAAAGGTACCAGGCACACAAGTCATGCACAGACATATGCAGGCAAGACACCTGGAGACATAAAATAAAACACACACACACACACACACACACACACACACACACACACACACACACACACACACAAAATAGGTTTTAAAAGCAAAAGGTACGTTCCTTAGAGCAGCTGTGGACTTCATTTTGCTTGCACCTACTTCATCCTGAAGTCATCCGCTGTGAGCCTGGCATTGTCGTTTTGAAGAATAAGGTTGGCATTGCAGGCGGTCACAGAAACGATCTGAACGGGACAGTCAAGGGACATTCCAACGTCAGTGTGAATCTGTCTCGGGCATTTGTGTTAGTTAGTATCTTTACTCGGGTGCCCAAAGAACCTTCGTTTTGGGGTGTAACTCAGTGATAGAGCTCTTGCTTAGCATATCAGACAAACGATCAAAAAGCAAAGCAAGCAAACAAACAAACAAGAACCATTATTTCAGTCAGATAATAAAGAGCCCCACAGATAACTTCACAGTTGCTCATCAAGAACTATGAGTTGAATATCAAAGCAAAATAAATAAATAAAGTAATGCAGCATCCCTGTGGATACTGAACCTAGAGCTTCAGGCGTGCTTATGGGCTTATGAACTACATCCCAAGCTCTTGTTTTAGTTTTTAATTCTGAGGCAGGATCTCATTAAATTACCCAGGCTGCCCTCCAATTTGTGATCCCCTTACTTTAGCCTCTGGGGTGGCGGGGATCGCAGGACTGTGCAACCAGGCCTGGCTCTGTTATATTGATGTTGAAGCTATTTCTCGTCTACTTTTGGTTCTACATTTTTTTTTTTTAATTGCCAGGCACCATCCTCAACTCCGGGACCAAAGAGTGAGCAAATTTCCACACCCCATACACTTGCTAAGTGCATTTGAAATGAGTTAATTAATTAACTAATGAAGCTCATTTATGATACTGGAGATTGAACTGAGAGTCACAGGCATGCTGGCTAAAAATTCTATTATTATATTTCCAGCTTTTTTTTTTTTTTTTTTTTTTTTTAATTGAGATAAGGTCTCTTAAGTTCCCAGGCCTGCCTCAATCTGTGATCCTCCTGTCTCAGCCTCGGGAGTCGCTGTGATGACTGGTGTGTACCGCCACAGCTTACTGCTAAATACTTCTTAAGTCTCCTTTGCTTTTAGTCATGCCCACCCGTGCCCACAGCCACAGGATGGGAACCTGCGTCTCTTACCTGTTGTTTCAAGTCCTCGATGACTGAGAAATACCTGCTGTAATCATGGTCAAGTCCACGGCCACTGCCAGGCCCGCACCTCTCATACCAGCCCTCGATCTTCTTCTCCAGGTCCGTGTTGGCCTCCTCCAGAGCGCCCACGTGGTTCAGGTACAATGCCAGGCGCTCGTTGAGGTTCTGCATGGTCACCTTCTCATTTCCAGAGAGGAGCCCAGGCTCGTTGCTAAGGAAACCCATGCTAGTTCCCCTACCCAAGCCCTCATTGCCGCTGCCAAAGCTTCCTCCGGAGGAGATGCCCCCAAGGGTGCAGGAAAAGCTGCTTTCTGCTCCAGGCCCGACACTCACATTCCCAGCCGCGAAGCCTGCCCCTCCCCTGGACAGCTTGACAGACCCAGCTCGAGAACAGAGCCTGGATCCCCCGGAAAACCGAAAAGACATGGCGACAGCCCAGCCCGGCGACCTTCTTCCCCAGAGAGGCGCAAAGCCAAAGTTTAGGTAGCATGGGGAGACAGCGCCAGTGGCTTTTATAGGTTCAATCTCAGCTACCGAGATCTGTAATAAAACTTTATTCGTGTCCTAATTGCTGTTTTTCATAATCGGGCGAATTTTAATAGTGCCCGGCAGGTGGCGAGGCGCCCCCAGGATTTTTTTTTTTAATGTATAAAAAAAGGTGCCAGAGACAGTGATCCTAATTCGTAGCCTTGCAGTGTTAGTAAGACTGAATCATAGTCCCAAGATCACAGAGAGGAAACTATCATGTGTGTCACCAGGACGAGACTGCATCTTTTTGACCCCCGGGAAAGGGTGGAGACCCCCCCCACGACACATAACAAAAAAAATTCACACTAGAAATACTTGCTCCCCGTGTTGAAGGAATGCACCAGAGTGCCTCAATTGTCCCTATTTTTGCCAAGAGCCTTCCTTCTTCTTGAGGCAGAAACTCTCCATATTCAGTCATCTTTTGCTAGTAAGAATTCTTGAACTGATCTGTTTTTCCAGGTGTACCTGTATGACTATTCATGGGTGTTAGCGTGTGTAGGTGCCTGTGTGTGTGTGTGTGTGTGTGTGTGTGTGTGTGTACACAGGTGTGGAGGTCAGAGGACAACTTTGGGTGTTGTTCCATCATCCACCTTGTTTGGTTTTTGGGGACGGGGGTCTCACTGGTCCTGAGCTTGGGAAGTAGGCTAGGCTTGCAAGCCAGGGAAGCCCAGGATCTGCAGGTCTCTGCCTCCCCAGTGCTGGATGGCAAGCCTACGCCCAAGCCCCTGGCTTTCTTTCACACGGCCCCTGGGGACTCTAACTCATATCCTCATATTTGCACGGCAAACCCTTTTCTTACTGAGCCGTCTCTCTACTTGTTTGTAGTAAGTTGAAAGTGTTATAGAACAGAAGTTCTATAACAGCTTGCTTGTCAGCTTTGCTAAAGTTCACACAGGTCTGTGGGGTTGGTGGGGGATTTATATGGAGATTTTTCTTTCTTCCTTTTTGTCGACCATTTGGAATGGGTCTCACGCGGCCAAGGCTGGCTTTGAACTCCAGTTCTCCTCTCTCAGCCGTCTGTGTGCTGGTATCATCTGAGCACTGCTGAGATTTTTTTTTTTTTTTTAAATTTGGTCTAGGAGTAGAACACCAACCCAACTAACTTCCAAGACTCCAAACTGTTTTCCTTAAAATTATTAATTCTGAGACAGTGTCTCATTGTATAGCCCTGGCTGGCCTGGAACTTACTATACAGACCAAACTGAGCTTGAATTTGTCTCTTCCTCGTGATGCCTCCCCAGATGCTGAGGTTACAGGCGTGTACCAGCCACCCTGTCATGGTTCTCAGGCTTTCATCTGTGTGCATAAAGCCTCCTGGAGACGTGAGCTTCACACGGATCGGTGGGAAGTGAAACATATGGAAGAGAGGGCTGTTTCCGCCACTGCCTAGGAAATCCATCCCAATCTGGTACCCAGGAGACTGGTTGTCACGGGCAGGCAGATGCTCTCTTCTTTTCCGCGAAACCCTTGGGAAACTAGTCAGTCTCTTTGTGCTTCCCTAGGAACAAACGAACATAATCACATCCAACAGTGTCAGCCAAAGGCTTCAACGGACAGTCCAATAACGAGTGACTATGAGACAGTCCGAAGGACACAGACACTCAATGTATGTGAATTATTGGTATTATTATAATCAGGTAGACATGTCAGATGGGCAGCTTGCTATCACTTATGATGGGTACAAATTAATTGGTCAACTGGATCGCAGGGTTTAGTTTTGAAACATGAATTCTCTCCCGGATGAGATTTTTTTTTTTCAGTGTTGTAAACACTGAATTTTGACATATCAGATGTTTGTCACTATAAGACCGGAGCTATTCAGTGGACTAGGATGTATGAATTAAAAAAAAAAAAAAAGCACAGATATTTATAAACATTTAATATAAAGTTGTAATTCATAGAATTGTACTATAAGATTTATAAATTCTAGTCAGAGAATTGTTAGTGATTTTTTGTGGCGACCTGGCCAAACCTTTCCACCTTTTGCCAACGTTTCCCATGAACGAAACAACCAAAACAGCATGTAGGTAAAGTAATAGCAAGACTTGATTTTTTTTTTTTTTTTTTTTTTTTTAGATAAGAGTTCTAAGGAGACTGCAAAGTGTTATTAACACAATCCATTTATCTCCAGGTGGCTTGTAAATACTAATTAACTTATCTCTGGTGGACTACGTTGAACATATATTATTAGAACCATTTTGGAGATGAGCTGGCTCTGGAAATAACAGAGCCACATAGATCACAGACTTCTCTCTCAGAGCAGGACGAACGACGCTTAACTCCAGGGAACACTTGGTGTTCCCGAATACGCTCTTCACTCCTCCTCAGCACAGAGCTCCTGTAAGCGAATACATTTTAAAGTTTATTTTTGTGCGTGTGTGTGCGTACGAATGTTTTGTCTCCGCGTATGTCTGTGTGCCACTTGTGGAGATCAGAACTGGTATTACAGATGGTTGGGAGCTGCCATGTGGGTGGTGGGAATCGAACCCAGGTCCTCTGCAAGAAGCAGCCAGTGCTCAAAACTGCTGAGCCATCTCCCCAATCCCTCCGAACTAAAACTTTAAAAGTGCCAACATACCATATCTATACTTTTGTTTATATTTGTGCTTTTCTGGACGTGAAACACGACTTGAACAAGTTCCCAGGTCACTTCTGTCAATGTCTCTGTCTTCATGATCAGAGAGCAGTGCGCAGTGGAACATCACTCGTTATTTCTTGAGAATCTACTAGGTGTTAAAGCATTTTATGCACGTTGCTAGTGTTTGAAGAAATTCAGCTGAACTGAACTTGAACGCTGTTTCCATGTCTCATTTCAGGACAAAGCCTTTCACTGCTGTCTGGCTCTAATGATCTCACGACGAGCCCACTGCCCATACATGCATTGTTTGGTTTCAGATATTCCACTGTTTAAAATGCAAACTCGGGGGCTGGAGAGATGGCTCAGTGGTCAAGAGCACTGTCTGCTCTTCCAAAGGACCCGGGTTCAATTCCCAGCACCCACATGGCAGCTCACAACTGTCTGTAATGCCCATTCCAATAGATCTGACACCTTCACAGCAATGTACATAAAATAAAGTGTAAAAAAAAATAAATAAAATGCAAACTCTAGGGGCTGGTGAGCTGGCTCAGCAGGTGAAGGCACTTGATGTAAGGACACAAGTTCGGTTCCAGACGGCAGAAGGAGAGGACTTAACACCACCAAGTCCGGCAAGTTGTCCTCCGACTTTCACGGTGTGTGCGTGTGGCATGCTGTGTCCACACACCCACGCTTACGCTCACACAAAATGAATTAAAAAAAAATTTAAAGACGTTAAAGATGGATACGTTTTGTTCCTGTTGGCTGTTTTGGAAGAGCACTTTTAGTAAAAAGAAAAAAAAACCTCTTAATGTATGTATGTATATATATGTTTGTATGTATGTACTTAGAGTGTGCCTGTGCATGTGTGTGACGCAGTGGACATGTGGACATCGCAGGGATAACTTTCAGGTGTCAGTTTTCTCTTTCCGCCACTTAGAGCCTAGGGATCCAACTCAGGTCACCAGACTTGGGGGCAAGCACCTTCGCCTACTGAGCCGCCTTGCTTGCCCAGAAAAACACTTTTCTTGAGCGTGAGTACAGTTTGTTTTGCCCCTAGATCCCTCATGTCTCCCCCACCCCAGGATTAGACTGTGGTGTGTTAGCTCCTCCCCAAATGGCTTCTCTGGTTTGGGAAAGAGGTGCCAATTAGAGACAGCAAAGGAGGGTGGAGCCACAGAGCAGCATTAGGTTGTGTCTAGGCTCAGGCTGTGAGTCAGACTGCCTGGATTCCAGCACCTCGGGTTACTAGTTGCCTGACTCTGGGAAAATGACTCCACTCTCTGACTCGGTTTCCTCACTCATAAAATGATGGTGTCCATGGCATCTACCTCGCAGGGCTGCGGTAGCCACCAAATGGTTTTTGGACAGCGTTTAGCACAGGGCAGACCTGGCTATCTCTTATCACTGGTCCTTCCTCAGAAGTTATAGTTTAAAAGCTACAAACACACCTGCCTATGATCTCAACTTGGTTCCAGTGGAAAGAGTTTTTTGTTGTTGTTGTTGTTTTTGTCTGTTTGTTTGTTTTCCCTTACTTGGGATGAGTTGGTGATGAGACATCCCAAACACTGGAGAAATCCCAGCTAACTATTTAGTCATTAAAAAAAAAAAAAAAAAAGCTGTAAAGAATTTTTAAGAATGGTTTTAAATTCACAACAAAATTCAGAGGAAGGTACAAAGACTTCCCACATACTCCCCCTCTTCACACACCACCTCCTTGCTGATCAACGGCTCTCCATGGCCCACATTAATGCAGGAGCAGTGCTTTTGTTTGAGCGATCGAACCCACGGCTCACGTTGGATGAACCCCGTTGGTTGGACAATTGCACATTGATTGGACCCATGCCTGCTGGCAGTAGCATATAGCGTACTTGCAATTGTCCTTTGAATCTCCCTGCTCCCCATTTATCCCTCACCTCTCAGTCCTGGGCAGCCACCGACCCTTGTACTGTTGCTGTGTTTTTGTGTATTTCAGGATGTCAGAGTTGGACTCCTACATGATGTAGCCTTTCCAAATCAGCTTCTTTCACTTAGCGATACACCTTGAAGTTTCCTCTCTGTCTTTTCGTGGCTTGATAGTTCCGGTTAATGAGCCATTGTCTGGATCTGCCATCATTTATTTTTTTTCGTTTTTTACCCACCCACTGAAGGGCATTTGGTTTGCTCCTGCATTTTGTCAATTAAGGAATACAGCTCTGCTGTACACATGTCTGTACAGTTTTTAAAAGGGTTTATTTTAATTTATACACGGGGAGATGTGAATATAGGGTTCTGGATCTCCCGGAGTGACAGGTGTTTGTGAGCCAGCTGACACGGTGCTGGG